TGCCGCGCTCCGGTAGAAGGACCTGGTGATGGATCTAGGCACACCGGAGGGGGTTTTGGGGGAGCACCCCAGCACCCCACCAGCCCCCCACACCTACTTCCCTTGGATGGGGCTCAGGGGATTTTCGGGTGCCAGCTGGGACCTCGGGAGCGGGAAGGGGAGATCTGCCCGGGTCATTCACACCCAGACTGGGGGGCTCCAGAGGAAACCTGTGGGGTTTTGCAGGGGCTCCAGGGTCCCTCCATTTCCCCCGGGGCGCAGTGGGGATGGGGCAGCACCCACAGGTCAAGCACTAGACAGAAATGAAGCACCCCCAGACCAATTCTGGGGCCCCCAAAAGGCTCCAGCCACAGCACCTGGCTCTTCAGCCCTTCACACCCCATTTGAGCCTCTTTCACGCTCCCAGGAGCTCCTGGCTCCAGCCTGATGCAATCAGCAAAGAAATCACCCAGCCCCAGCCCACCGGTACCCCAGGACCAGCACCCAGCCCTGCTCCCTTGGCTGCCCCCCAAAACCAGCTCCAGCTTCGCTGCAAACTCAGCACAAGGTTTCACCGGCCCCTAAAGCGTCACCGTCCCATCGCTGCCTGTCCCTGCACGCCCAACCGGGGACTTTACATCCACCCTAGGGTGGGGGGAACGAGTCACCTGGGTCCCACATGGGTGCTGTGTCCCCATCCCCATCTCACCTGAACCTCTCCTGCCCGGCCGTGTCCCAGAGCTGCAGCTTGGCCTTGCCGGCGGGCGGCAGCGGGACGGTGCGGCTGTAAAACTCCACGCCAACGGTGGGGCAGGGGGTGGCCGCCCCCTCACCCAGACCCTCTGCAAAGCAGCGCAGCAGCGATGATTTCCCCACGGCCGCGTCCCCCAGCACGATGATACGGAACTGGTAGTGTCCCTCGGGGTCGGGGTCCTGGAGGGGACCCGTCACCGTCCCCATGCCGGTGGCTGTGCCCATCGAGGCCCGATTCACTGGATTTGCCGGATCCTGACCCAGCTGGGTTTTGCTGTGCTGACGGGGCTGGGGACAGGTCTCCACCCTTGTCCCCACCCCACAGCACCTTCTCTGGGGACGGCTCTGCCCTCGCAGTCAAGCGGGTGGACAAACAAACTGTCCCGGGGAGGAGGGAGAAGCTGCCGTCTCCGTCCTCATCATGTTGTGTTTGGTGTTGTCACATGCCAGCTCTGTCCCACTTCCTGATTTTGGTGACAAAGACGGGGACAGCCAGGCTGGGGGCATACGAACACGCTGCCGCAGCGGGGCCAGTGCCCCCAAGGAAGCCAAAATCCTGGGTGAGCCAGGAGGGACGAGCTCGGTGGGAAGGGGGCTCTCGAGTCCCCACGGAGAGAGGGGAAGAGGGGTCAGAGGCACCGGCTCCACGTCCCTCGGACAAAGGTGCTCTCTGCAAACAGCCTGGGTCACCCGCAGCCCCGTGGGGACTTTGCCATGGCCCAGCCCTCCCCGTCCCACCAGCTGTGCCGAGATCGGGAATAACAGACCACCTCCAACAGCTCTGGGGCCGTTTTCACCCCCAATTTGTTCTCCATCGTGACAAAACAGGTGACTCGAGTCACCAGGCTCCGGCAGAGAATGTTGGCAACGTTGCAAGGATGTTGCCTTGGCCAGGCAGGAGCCGTCCCATCCACCTCCGTGAACTCCCACGCCGTTTTCCTGTGCTCCCAGGGCTGCGGAGGGGGAAGCTCCAGCCGTAGCTGCTGCACCAGCACCGGTGTCTGGAGAAGGGACAGCCCGGCTCCTGGTCCATGCAGCTCCGGTGGGCAAAGGGCTTCCGCATCAGCTCCCTCGGGTGGTAACTCCATGTTTCGAGGAGCACAAACTTGCAGGGGAAAAAAAAAAAAAAAAGATACACACGGATTTCCAAATCGGAGCCACACACCAGCTGCCTGGAGATCCAGCCCACCAGTACAGCCACGGGAGAAGCACTGGTGGAAACTCACCTCGAAGGATTAGTAGCCTCAGGTGGAAGAAGCTGCTCCGATTTCCCAAGTCTCACACCCAGCACCCAGCCAGGATCCCCCTGCAGCATCCGTGCACCCCAGCAGGGCTCGGGCAGGACACAGCGCTCCTGGACCCCAGGTTAAGGGTGGTCAGGCATCACCCCAGACCAACGGACCCCAAACACGAGCACAGGAGACACAGCAAGAATTTCAAGTGATTGCATTTATTCACCCTCAAAGTATTTTATATCCAGACCCTGCCCCAAGCTCTTCTCCTGGGAAAACTCCACAGAAGGGACCGTTCTTCCGTGCAGTGTTTAAAGGGGAGCTCGAGCAGCACCTGGAGCCAAACGAGTTCCCTCTCGCTGTGGTGCAGGTGAGCGGAGCGGCTGTTCCCACCCGAGGGAGCTCACGGCTCAGGAAGGAGCCAGGATCTGGCTACGCAGAGCTCTTGCTTCTGGAGGAGAGGGCTGGAAAAGAACAAAGTCTTGCACCAAAACCCTCAGGGACTGGGCTCATCTCAGCTCCGCACTCTGCTTAGACCTGAAGAGGGGATATAAAAAATAATCCAGCCTGAATGAAGAGCAGTTGGGACTCAGCATTGCTTCAGATTTCATTTGCGTTAAGGAATTCCCTGCTGTTCGCTCTCCCTGCACTGCGCAGTGATTTTGGCTTTTTCATGCCTGGCCTCAGCCCCATATCCGCAGGATTCATCCAACTGTCTCCAAAGAAGAGAGTCATCACGGACCAGGCTGACATCATCACCGACCCTCTCCTTACAGGTAACAGGCTGCCCAATTCTAAACCTTACTAACGCAGTCGATCATTCCCACCTGCAAAGCCCCAGCAGGCTGCTCAGTCCAGATTAAGGACTGGCCACTTCCAGCACAGGCACAGTCAGCTTGAACTGTCCTGTCCTCCAGGACTGGAGAGATCCCACTCAAAACACCAAGCACCTGGCAATTACCCACCCAGGACACTCACGTGCTCTGTGTCACAGCTTCCCCCACGATTCAGGCCCTAAGGAAAGCAAACCAAATCCCTTCACCGGGGACAGGGGCTTGTGAGCTCTCGGTCCTTCCCACTAAGCGAGTAATTCCTGAAAAAAACAGAGCCACAGGTTTAAGTATCTGAAGTCGATGGGTCGCTGTACAGTAGGAATCAACACATCAGATCCAGCCCAAGTAAAACCCAAACTGCAAATCTTCACGGCCCTTCAGCTCTCCATGCCCAACATTTGTCTGTTCTCTTGACCAGGGAGTTTCACTCCCACCCCAGCCTTGCCAAAGGAGCAAGGCCAACACAGACTGTCTTCCAACTGGCCCCTCTCAGAGCAGGACTGCACCAGCAAAGAGGCCGAGACCAGTTTGAATTTTATTTTTCCTCCTTTTTCGACCACAAGATCGGTATTCAGATCTGATGGGAAAGGGATCTGGAGGGACAAGCTCAGAGACCGGACAAGGGCACCGTGTTCTCACCTCAGGTCTATCCAGCAGGCACGCCATCGGCCAAGCGAGCTCTGAAACACCAGGCAACCCTGGAAAAAAATCACAACCCCCCCTGCAACATCAGCAGCAGGCTGCAGACCCGTGCGTACACGTTACTGACACACTCCACTCAGAAACCATGAGCGCCTTGCAAGAAGAAATACCCTAATTCCTGAAAATATATAGGAGGGGCGAGTGACAGCAACAGGCAAAAGAGGCCCAGCAGTCAAAGACCTTCCCGTTGCTCTTGCATGTTGTTGGAGACCTGTAGCTATTGCACGGAGCCACAGCTCTTGGATAAACATGCAAAGTCACCACGGAGCCCACCTGGCAAAGTGTGTTACAGCTTCAAAGCAGCAGATGGAGGAAAAACAGAGTGATTTACTGGCTTTGGATCAGATCTGATTCCCAGTTCTGCCACTAGCCAGGCCCAGTGATGCTGGAAAGTCCCATTAATCCCAGCCCTACATGATCGAGAAGAAAATATGGAGAGTCTGCACTTAACGCCAGGATTGATACTTGTAACAGGTCCTGCCAGCGAGAAATCTGTGTCTGCAGGGCCTAACCCCAAGCAGGAGCCCTGCAGATGCCCCACAGCACCTGGAACAAGCACCGCGCCGGCAGCATCTGCTAGCGGAGAACCAGGAAATATTGCTGCTCGCTGCTCTGGCCAAGGGAGGCCCTGAAGGCAACCGAATTCCCAGGATAAGGACAGACTCCAGAGCCTGGATCGCAACCC